TGATAAAAAAATAACCATTTTATAGTTCGATTTTTATTATTATTTTTTTTTTTATTAAACAAGCTTTCTCATGCAAAAATTACACTTCACAGATTCTTTCTCGAATTCAGGCCAAATAAAATAAAGATCGAAATTTCATATTATGCTCTTTGGTGTTATGTCTGATGGAATTCAAACAGAAGAACATGTAAACAAATAAGCAAATATGTAGGTGAAGTCGGGGAATTCTTGGACACGGGATATTGTTGGACAGCAAGATATTTTTTCCCCCTAATAATGCTTGACAGTTTCAACCAACTACATATCATCAACTCGTCTCACGCTGAGCTCATTTTCCATTGAGCCCCCGACGTTTGTATACGCAGCCAAAATGTACTCAACAAAGTGTGATTGAATATGACATTGCTCTCAGAAGAACCATCCTATAAAGTCAAATTGAAAAAATTTTGTATGAATTTTGAATCGATTGTTTATATTTTTTGGTATAATAGTACCTTAAAAGAGAGCCAACTCAGGTAGGTCAATCACACCTTGTTTAATACAGCTTGCGCAGCGTTATCTCGCTGCCATAGCAAATAGAAATTTGATACTTCGAAAGTATTTTTTTACCTAGTATTACTTAGTCTATTTTGACAAGATTTTCCGACGAGCCAACTAAGTTAAATATATTTATAATACTCGTGGAAGCTTAGGCTTCCTGCGCAGAAAAAATTTTGTATGAAGTTCGTATTGTGTTACCTACTTATAAGCCGCGATTTTGAAAAATGAGGGTTCGGGGAATAATTGGACACTTAGTTTTGAACATTTGAGGGACTTTTCGTGCATAATTTCCACAAAGCATTAGTTTTTCGCAATTTACAATAGTTTTTTTTGGACCAATAAATTTTGGTTTAGCCAGAATTCGGCTTTATTATGCAAAAAAGGACACATAAATGGATTCGGCAATATCCTGCAATCGGCCGTTTTGACATCACCAGCAATTGTGGCTGACCTATGCCGAAAATACCTTCCCCGATCGAAACTGGCGTGGAAGAAGACATTGATTTCTGCATAATTTGCACGAAAAATATGCCGAGGCAAGAAAACCGCCGAAACACAGCCCGTTGCATTGTTTGTGTTCACTGACTCGGTTCACTGTGACTTGGAATAATTCTAATCGTCAATTTGCACTTTATTCAATTAATTATGACGTCTTCTTTCGTTGTCGTTCACAAATAAATGTTTTCCACCAATAATTTTCATTTTTTATCGATTTACAAATTGTCCAATAATTCTCCGAGATTTTTCAAAAGTGCGAAAACAAATTTGTTTGCCAACTGAAATAACATGCATAATTTAATACAATTTGATCAAACTGCTTATTGCAAAAGGAAGGTTATTTCCCGTACTAGAAAACCAAGCTATACAATTTTTAGAAAAAGTACACTGCCGGCAAAAAGTATTGACACAGCAAATTTTTCAAAATATATGCATACATTCTTTCTCTAATATTTCCCGCTAATTTTTTATAAACATATGGTTCATTCTACAACAAAAAACATTGAATTCCTAAACTTTGTGCAAAACTTCCAAAAATTCAGCGAATTTTCATTCAAATTTTCAACTTTTTAAACAGACTTTTTAGAATTTTTTTGAGTATGCAGTCCATTCACGGTGGAGAGAATACAGAAGGTGGCGCCAATCGCAACACGGAAAAATATTAGAAAAAAATTTTTGCATATATTGTGAAAAATTTGCTGTGCCAAAACTTTTTGCTGACAGTTTTTTTGCGAGTTTTCGACCAAAATAAAAGTGTGTCCAAGAATACCGCGTCTTTCCCTAATGTTAAATAAAGTAAATAAAATAAATAAAAAAGTAAAATATTAAAAAAAAAATCTTTTTTATTGATATTTTACGTCCAGTTAGTTACGGCCGAAGGAAATACGTAATAAAAAGGTACAACTAACTAGCCCCGTTTCCTGCAGGGATGTGCCTGAAAGTGTGTGTGCTGTATGCATTTGTGTTGGCAGCTGCTTATGCACTAAGCAATTATTGTTGCTACCACGGTTGGCGCGTCGCGGCTGCTGGCTCAGCTACGGCCACTACTGTTACTGCAACAATTCAATTAACTCGCTGAGTAATGCAGATTGATTAAAATCAGTCTGACGGCGCAGAGTAGTAAAAAAAAAACACAATATATATGTCTACAAACGAGGCATGTAGGCACACGGCATTGTTGGTTAAGAATTTTTAAAAGACATTTTTGTGTTAAAAGCTTTACGCTGGCCCATATTTACTCGCTTATGTTTTGTTTTTATTGGTCAGAGCAAAATTTTCGCTTAGCATTTTATTTTTAATGAACATTAGCATTTTTTTTTTAATACAAACACATGTCACTGATTGCAAATTATGGCGTGCAAACACGCAATAAATTGTGCGAATATTGAACACTCCCACCACTCGGGCAAATACCTACTTCAATTTGTAGTCCACTTTTTTGATTTAAGCGAAAAATTACAAATTGAAAAATATTTATCAAAATAAATATGTATGTAAGTATGTATGCAACTATTTAGATTCAAGGTTTTTCGAACAAAATATTATTTTTTTTTTTTATTGAAAGCACTTTAGTGAGAATCATTTCCGAGTTAATTTTTTTAAACCCAACGATTAACAGGATTTACGAGGCAGGTGATCTGATCAGAATATGTGCTACTCTGACAGGCGGCGGTATTGCGTATTAATGCGAGCCACGAAGGCGTGGGCGGAATGTTTCGCAGGCTGCACGAATCTGGTCTGATGGTATTTTGCCACAGTGGCGGCGAAGGGCATTATTCAAGGTGTTGACTGTCTCATATTTTTAGTTGATACTTTGGCTTTGAGGATGGACCATAGACATGGAAGAAATGAAGCTGGGAAGTTTTTTTTTTCTAAAAATCGTTGGACTTTGCGATATTTATGCGATGGTCACGAGTGTTATTGAAACGTCCAATTATTTGCACTGAATGGTTTTTTTTCGCGGTAGGATTGTTGATTTACTTTTGTGCCCTGTTCAATACGAAATACCACTAGACCACATTCGTGCAGCATGCCTGGGTATCTAAGGGGTTATAGTACATAGCTCTGACCCCTCGGATACTACGGACGCTAAATTCGTTTGCCTCAAACTCGTTAATTTTTCATTCACAATAGCGAACATCTGTCCGTTTTGGTCAGTGTTGTTATCCGAAATGTCCCCGATCAATATTAGTTTTGAGTATGAACTCTAGGACTTAATCTGGATCAACTTCAGTAAATTCCCGAGATAATTCCGAACTAACGAGTGGATCCGCATCAGCTCGGCCGACTGGCTATGCTTTCAGCCTAGAATTCATATTACAATTTTCTAAATTTTGGGAAATTTTTGGACCCTAAAAATCAGGCAAATGAAAATATTAATAAAATTACTTTTTTTTAATATTTCATCTTAGTTTTTGCCCTTCCAAATAGATTAATTATAATTTCATTTGAGCCAATTTTTTTATTCAGTGATCCATGGTGCTTGTAAAATAACAGTGATAAATCAAATGAGTAAATTTCTCACAAAAAAAATCAACTGGGGATGGTGTAGCCTCCTATGCCAAAGATCCATACGAGTTAACATCCCAGTAGATAATTTTGGTGGGTCTTCTTAAGTGAAGCCATTCTAAAAGGCCTACCTACCCAAGAAGGGCGGAAAAAGTGCTTCCCTGCATGGCTTCTAGAAGGGCTTTTCTATTCACAATTTACGTGAGTGTGTAAGATTATATTAATTATTACAAATGAATTTAAATGTGCATTTTGGATTGTAATAAAACATATTTGATATGAACCTTAAATAAATTAAAAAAGTATGCGTTTTATGAATTAAAGAAGCAGCTTTATAAGAACTCCTACAAAATCCCTTCCGGAAGCCCTTCTATGGGTAGAGGAAGTAGAAGACCTTCAGTTCTTGCCACTCCATACAAAAAAGAAAGGACAAAGGAATGCAGAGTGGAAGGCCTCTTGACTCTCAAGAAGGCCCTTTGGAATGGCATTTAGCTTACTGGGATTGCATGGGTCATCTGCCGCGAAACCAGCAAAATGAGCAATGAATTTGAAGCAGATATGAAAGACAGACCTTTGTCATAATTTTGTACGTCCATTGCGAACGAACTCGCTTTAGGCATTTAATTTATATTATGAAACTGTACCAATAGTACTTATATGCATATATAAATAAAGCAGAGACCAAAAATAACCATTAAATACCAAAAATTTAAATTTTAGTTAAATACAAAATGAAAATTTTTTTATTTTAATTTTTTTGTATGAAGTATAAAAGTTTAATTTATGTTTTTATTTTTTCGATAAATAAAAGATCGTCGTTATTTTGAATTTTTCATTTATTTTCAGTCCTTTATGAGGCCTTTTTTTAAATCTGTTATGATCTAAAAAATCTAATCTGCAAATAACGGCTATTGTGGTAGCAGTGACTTCAATATGATCTAGAGTAAGAAATGGAAAGATTACAACAAGCCAAAAACGTTTTCACAACTAATATTTAGGTCTTCGAGAAAAAATTATCGAAACTTATATAGTTCATTTGAAAGCAAGTTGAAAATTGATTTAATTTAATGTTGTTTTATACACCAGTTAGTTACTACATTTCATTTACTAAATTTGAAATAAAATTCCATATAGTTTTTTATGATTTATTACAAAATTTTGTAGACTTACATATGCGAATTTGTCCGTTACAACGGTTGCCGCCTTCCTTCGTAGTAGTTGTAAGAAATTCAGCTACGTTTAATACGCAGAACTATGGGCTGTTTGAGCAAGCGCTGCCGTAAAAATTTTATATTACAATTGCTTTTTTAACGCCAAGTTTTAATGGCGCTTTCGGTGCGCTGTTCAAGTTGTATATAATAAATATTAACGCATGAACAGAATGTGTGAATAAGTTGTAGTCTTTAATTAATTGTGTATTTTCTTTTTTTTTTTTGTTATGCTCTATATCATTAAAGTCGATGACTTTTTTCTTATTCTTCAGCAATGCGATTCTTCCACTATAATAATTTTAAATGCCGATCTGCTGCTGTTTTCTTATATTCATCAATTTATTTACGTATGTACGAATATGTTTTTTTTTTTGTTTTTTTTTTTCCACGCGTATTTTCAAAACTATTTATTGCCGTAGAAAATTTGTGTTGATTACTAAGTAAATTATGGGTTTTTTGATTACTGCCGCTTTTTATAGCTGTTTATAATGAAATTGTTATTTTAACACTATGAAATTTAATGTAGACACTTTAGTAGTTGTTTCACTTATTTTTTGTTGACTGTATCGCCTTTTTTTTTGGTGTAGAAACACTTTTAATTGCAATGCTAGATTTTTTAAAAGAAAATTAATTATCTTGTTACATATTTTGTTTTTTTTTTTTTGTTCTTCAACAACTTCAGCAACAAACTGTCGACGAGTGGTGATCTACGCGTTGATTTGCAATTTGCTTAAATGTATGTAAATCTGCATGCATACATACATATTTTACACTGTGTACATTTGTTTGCCAGCTTCTTGTGTTAGTGAATTTCTCGTTTTAAATATTTAGCTGAGCCTAGCGTTTATTGTTTTTATTACAATTATTTTGAGTTTACTTAGAAAAGAATTATTTTTGTATTTATACCCGTACATACATACATACATACATATTTACCTCAAGATGTTTTCAATTAATTGTTCGTAATTGCGAAAAAATTCGCAGCTGTGGGCGCCATATCGATTAACATGTGATTAGAAAAATTAAATATTTAAACAAACAGTGGAACCCGTGAGTATGAACATTGCAAGTTGAGTAAGCAATGGAAGAAAAGTTTACGTGGAATTAAAAAGGAAATATTATACACAAAATGAATACATATGTATGCATGTTCAAGGCTATTTTTACGGACACTCAGAGGTGCCCTCCCGTCAGTCACTTCATTAAGCATCTAAACTTCAAACGGAAGAATATCGAACATACAAACCACGACTGAGTAGAAACTATATTTTGAATAAAAAATCAGCTGGGAAAGTGGTTAGGGGCGTGTACTAGCACTCAGCAGGGTCCATATTCGATTCCAGGTCCGCACAATATTTAAAAAAAATACATATATAAGAAAAAAGTTGTTTTCTTATAACGGTCGTCTCTCAGCAGACAAAAGAGCTTCTCATAAAAAAATTATTTTCTGTTCAGCGGTGACAACATCAAGGCGCAGACCACAAATTCGAGGAAAACCTCGCTCAGATACTAGACATAAATGTAAGCTCCAATTTTTGTTTGTTTATTTTTTAGATAAAAGCCAAATTTTAATTAAGAGATCAAAAATAAATCAGTCAATACTAATCGGAGGAATAAATAAACGCTATGTAGCTAATTTATAAGTTATTCAACATCTATAAAATGGGGGGCTCATCAAATAAAAACCACGTCGTAAAGTCGCATTTTTTACTCACTTAAAAAAAAAAATACTTTCACGTTCAATATCACTCAGTTTTTGTGTAATATTTATTGCCACTTAAATTAAAATGTAATAATATAATTTGATAACGACATCTCTTAATAAAAAATAATAATTACAATAAAACCTGCATAAGTAATCCCACCCCGGCTATGTTAATAACCAAAATTGTCAAAAATGACATGGAGAACAGCTGCTTCAAGAGAGCTCTGTGGGACATTTATCCGCAAAAGGCTGCTCTTTCGTCGGCATTGTCAGCCGGCAGCGTCATCGGTGCAGATTTCTTCGAAAACGGGAAAAGAGAAATTTAAGACTTTGATTTGAACGAAATGTAATTACAACAATCGAAGGATAAGTTATGGAAAGTTAGTGCCGAGTTGTTGCCCGAATTGTGTGAAAAAGTCATCGAAAATTCCCTCACAAATATTAAAAAAAAAATAAAAAAATTGGAATGAATAATTAATTTCTTATAAACTATTAGGCCTATCGAAAAGAGGGAGAGGAAAACTATAGTCTATATAGGTGGACTAAAAAATTTAATTTGAAAAATTTATGTAGTCTGTTAAAGCTGTTCAGAAAAGCGGACGCACTTAGCGGGTTTCACTGTAGTTTGAGATGAAAGTATGTATGTAATTCTGCGCATTGTTACTTTAGAGGAAATCAAAAAAAAAAAACTTAATTAAAATATTAAAATATTTACTCGAGGATGCATAATGACGCCATTTTGGTGCCCCATAGCCCAGCGCCAATTGACGATCGTGTTGATGACGGCGCTGTGACAACACGTAACAAGTACCGTTGTGCGATTATGTTGTTGACATTTCAAGGTGTATGTATGTTATGTATGTATCTACATGTGAGTGAGTGTCAGACAGTGCGTTTACTTGGCGGGTATGCTTGACAAATGTTTAGCGCGTGCTTTGCCCACTAAACCAATCAGCCAAAAAGTAAACACACACAAGCGGTGGCTGACAGGAGGCCAAGCGAAGCCAGCAACAAACTAATGGCCAAACAATTCAAATGGTTGTATGCATGGTGGAATAATAACAAGGTGTTGTCAGTAGCGACGTGTTTGTTGTGATTTTGACAAGATCGGCATGCTTATTTTCAGTGCTGCCGATCTTAATTTTTATACTACTATTCGTTGGGAAATAGTATCTAAAATACTCCAATTTAGTAATTCGTTTTATCGCAATTTTTAAAGAACTTGGTGTTTTCAGAACAATATTAATATTTAAAATTGCTGGATTTGTATAATTTTTGTACTCAAAAAGTAGAAAAATAAAAGATATCGTGGTTATCAATGGAGAAAAACTTTCACAAAAATAGTATGGAAAGGTGATTTTTTATATTAAATAACTTTTGCTGCATTGTCATAATATTGAGCCAAATGAACTACTGATACATTAGAATAGAGTGGTGGCATGGTTAAATTAGGAATTCGTTTATATTATCGATATTTATGTGTTTTAATCTATTTAGAATAT